ACACGACGCTCTTCCGATCTCCCCAAAACCCCAAAACCCCTTAAGAGAAGATAACAAAGAGAATTGCTTTAATGAGATAATCACAGTGGGATTTATAATAATGCAGACTTCGATGAATAAAATTAAATACATGAGAAATAATCTATACTATCAATATTTAATTCTAAATTTAAAGACCTAATATAACATGTAGTAAATAAGGGCTTATGAGTAAAAATCTCAGTTATAACCAGCTCAGAATGAATTGGACTATAGGATAAACATACAAAAGCCTTCGGAGAACTCGAGTGATTAATAGAAAAGGGCTTTTAAACAATTAATAGAACACGTGGCCTCTTGATGTGAGACCTATAAATATAGTTAGCTATTCGAAGATCCTGTCACTGAGATGAAATATCTCAAGACTTATCACAGTAAAAATCTAAGGGAGATTGGGAGAATTTATGTGCTATCTATCATCATTATTTACTTCATATTCCTAGGCTATCACATTTACAGAAGAGTTATTTATCCAGAGTCTACTCCACTCAGAATCACGATTCCGATGAATATCGTTTTCGTATTATTGCCTATTCTTCATTATTATTTATCTACAAAGTACTTAATATTTCAAAAGCATTTCTCAGATCTCTAGATGATTACTTTTCATATCATCCTTCTTGAATAAAGTATCAACGGCAATACTCCAAATGTTTACACATATATCTTCAAAGAGTTACCTATTATTCTACTATGTTTCGTAAGTTACAACCAACTCATATTCGATTTAACAATCTTGACTTGCTATGTATATAATGTGATCAGGATCAGGTTTTGGATAGAAGATGATTACATTTATTCAATTTATGTCATTGAATATTTTTTCTTTCTCTTAATATGTCTGGTCTTGGCTCGTATTAACAACAGAAAGGAATGAGATTAATTTCAAAGTATTACAAGATAAAAGTAACTCACATCAGTATTCCATAAAATGATAAAAATATTTCATGATGGCATCATAATTGCTACTAAAGATAAAATTTTATATCATAATGAACAAGCTCTCAGTATTTTTGGAATCAAAGAGGAAGAATTACAGTCCTCAAGGTATAGTAACAGTGGTGCTAGAGCCAGATTGAACTAAGAATTGGGCCAGTAATAAGATATTGAATAGATTCCTAAATTCCTTATTGATTAGATGAAAGAGACCATAATTGATAATATAGAATGCAAAAATATGGGAATAAATATCTAACAAATGTACAGATTTGAATTTAAAAATCTGTGGAACTACCTTGAACACAAATTTTAGGGCAATAGATTTAATAATCTTGACTCAGAGGTCAGTAATATTGATGGGGTTCCTTTTCTTGTTGGTAATGATTAGCAAAATCACAGTTCTTCCTAAAAATCTGAATAAAAGCACATTTAGGTATTTACCTAGTCTATGAAACAAAATGGGAAAGAAACAATTCTGATAGCTTTGAGAGATATGACGACATGGATAGAGTTTGAACGCCAGGAAAACCTGAATAAAATGAAGACAGTATTGTTTGCTTAGGCTGCTCATGAATTCAGGAATCCTTTGAATGGAATAATATCATCTATAGACATTTTGCATGATAAAGTCAATCATGAGACTGGGGGAAAGTACTATTAAATTGCAAAAAACTGTGCAAACCTTATGCTATTCCTAGTTAATGACATTTTAGATTTTGCCTAGACTGAACAAAAAAAGCTTGTCTTAAATATCGAGAGATTCAAAATTAAGGACTTAATTGAGCAATGCACTAATATATTACAATTTTCTGCAGAGCTGAAAGGACTAAAAATAATTCTGTCATTAGAAAATTCTGCACCAATGTATTTTACAACAGATTAAAATAGACTCAGATAAATTCTTATAAACCTTCTTTCAAATGCAATTAAATATACAAGAAAAGGCTTTATCAAAATAATCATCAACTCTACTGAGAAGCAAACGCTTTAGATACAAGTGGTAGATACAGGAGTAGGAATTAGCGAAGAAAAAATAAAAACTTTATTTTCAATTTTTACAAAAATTATGGAAGACAGAGAATTAAATAAATAGGGTGTCGGTTTAGGTCTTTCTATCAGCAAAAAGCTTGCCTAAGCTTTAGGAGGTGATATTACAGTAGAGTCAGAAAAAGATATCGGGTCAACATTTATACTGCAAATAAAAAATTAGGAAGGCTAACTAAAGCCTTCATTTTCAGGCTAGAGTAGCTCGTCTCATCGTAGAGCTATGAGAAATAATAATATGTAATCTAACGGACATTCTTATTCAGTCATTAATAACCTAAGGATTAATTATTTGATGTCACCAGTATGAATTCATTGCCCCAAAAGCTAAGTGATATTTTAATTACAGTCCCAGGTAAAAGGCAAAGGGCGTTCCATTGGCTATCAAGCATTCAGAGCTAGTCAACTTTAAATAGACATAATCAATCCTTCCAGACTTAGCAAAATGCATTAAATGAAATTGAAGAATCAAAAGAAGATATCAAGAGTGAAGCATTTCCAGATATAAATCTACAGTTAGACTTCCACGATTAAATCGCGAGGATTGACAGCGCAAATTTTGAATAATTTAATCCTCTAGTTCTTATTGCTGATGATCAACCATTTAATCTTCTCTCTTTGGAAGGTTTGTTAGAATAATAAGGAGTTTAAGTAGACAAAGCCTTCGATGGAGAATCAGCTTACCTAAAGGTCCTTTCTGATTAAAAAAGGCGTTTTAATACAGGAAGGGGTTATAAATTAATTATTCTTGATAATGAGATGCCACTAATGAGTGGACTATAAGTCGCTATTAAAATTAGACAAGGATAAAGAAATGGAATCATTGATAAACATCTGAAACTTGCTCTTTCTTCTGGGGAATCCTCTAATGAATTTACTAGGCTGCTCTTTAGTTTGAATTATGGCTAAGATCCCTTTGATTATAATATCGGAAAGCCAGTTAAGTAGGATATAATTAAAAAGATGCTATTAGAATCAGGTTTGAAAAAAAGTTGAAAAGAGACAAAGCTTAGTCAATTTTAGAATATCGTATGTAAAGAAGTAATTTACTATTTAGCCACAGCTAAGAGAATTCTTAAATCAATTTTAGACAAGTTTATGAATTAAATTTACTTAAATTCTTAAAATTCTCACTTTTTTAAAATCTTGGGGTTTTGGGGTTTTGGGGTTTTGGGGTTTTGGGG